GTGTGTGTGTGTGTGTGTGTGTGTGTGTGTGTGTTTGTGTGTGTTAGAGAAAGAGAGAACAAAAACCTAAAAAACGAGTGAAGAAAAGAGGTGGAGATGACACTGATACATGTTTGTCCAGGATAGGAAGCAAGTTCAGAGGAAGTTGCCTGGCCCACTCTTTTCCCATGGCACAATGAGCAGGTCTAATCATAGACAGAAGTGTGGCTCATAAAGTACATTTCCTCTTCAAATTCTCTCTATTCTATCTCTTCCTACTGTTCCCACACTCACATTTCCTTTCACTGAACCACGAGCGAGGGAAAAGTTTACACTGGAAACGAGGGAAAGTGACGAGAGAAACAGTTTCAGATGTCTGCCCGTTGGATCGAACTCAGCGGAGCTCTGCTGCGGCCGAGGTCATTTCAAGTGTTTTCAGCGTGGATACCTTTTTGTTTTGACTTCTCAATACATGAAATCACTCCACACTGGGCTCAACTTGCAATTCAGCCTCCATTGTGTCATCTGCATGTGAGGATTTTTGTGGTAAAAGTGGGCTCTGTTAGAAATTATCTTAATCTTTGTCGACATACCTCAAATTATTTTTGTTTCATATTACACATACTCGTGTCTGCGTCGTCCTGGACCACCAGCCGCTCCCTCAGGCACCAGGTTCATGTATTGATACATTTTCAGCAGATGGTTTTCAACTGGAATTTATTCACATTCATGGAAAATTTAAACTGACAAGGGCCTCGGGTGCTTGGAGCCGGATGGTTCAGGGTTGTGATTGCCCAATGAGCCCATGTTCTGGTACACGCATGTACCGACGCACGCAGCCACACTCATGTGCACCCTGAATGACCGGATCACAGAGAGGGGCTGTTCAACACTCTGACACAACCAGTTAAAACCTGGTGGATTTTCTTGACGTTTCACCGGCACACAGATGCATCGGCCTATCAGAATTTGTCTTGGGACATCACATGACCAGTCCTACATCCCAACTAGCTATCAGTATGAGATGCTTTAGGCTACAACACTAATCTATAGGGGAGTTCAGGTTGTACACCCACTGTTGCTGTTTTCCACTAATGCCACATAGCTCCAAACTAGTGTATGTGGGCTATAGCCTCTACAATGTTGGGGTAAAGGCTCATGTTGGGGCCCCCGTGTGGAACATGCTCACTCTGGGGCCACAGTCCAGGCTCAAACACAGATAACTTTCTTTACCTCCGCCAAGGAAGTTATGTTTTCATCTAGGTTTGTTTGTTAGTTAGTTTGCTGAATTACGCAAAACTACTGAGCAGATTACCTTGGTGGAAGGATGTGGTGTGGATCAGGGAAGAAATCATTAAATTGTGGATTCAGGATTTTATTTTCATTTCCTTAAAGGACTCTCCTTTGTGTCCGCTGTACCTCGTCCTCTGTCGATTCTTGGAACACAGTGCCAGAATTACCCGTCAACTTCTTTGCACAAAACAGTGCAATGCTAAGCTACGTTCTGTGTGTCTGGACTTTCATCATTGAATTAATGGCAGCAGAAATATGACACCTTCAACTTGACATTCAGCAAATGTAGAAAAGAGGAATCACCAGGGAAATTAAATCATCATTCCCAAAGTTTTGAGTTGAGTTGGAAACATGCAAAGTTAAGTTGGCTCTTCGTAACCTTTACCGGTCAGTTAGACAGTGTGTGTATATGATGTGTGACTTTGCATTAATGTTAGATTTGAATATTGTGAGTGTTTTCAGTTTCATAGCATCAGTGTGTGTTTCTGTGACAGACAGTGAAACTTCTTCACCGCTCAGTGAGAAAAGGGAACCTGTCACTCAGTGAAATTGTCTCAGATCAAACACAGAAGAATTCACCAAAGACTGACAGTGTGTGTGAATTGATTGACTGATAGCTTAGTGACGTGTGATCTGTGCTCTCGCTTTATTCTGAGCTTCCTTTCCTCGATCCAGAAATATGGCAAAAGGTCGAGCCTCAGCTGAAGCTGTGACCGCGGCTCTGTGAATACACAACTTTATTGTTTGGAGCATGTGACTTCAGAGAATCACCTGCTCAGCCTGTGAGCGGATGAGACACGGTTGTTATTTTGTGTTTTTTCTAAATGTTTGCAAACGAGCGTGTGCGTGTGCGTGTGTGTGTGTGGATGGGTGACAGACGGCCCATGCAGAGACGACGGGTGTGAGTGTGTGTTAGTGAAGTGTGAGTGTGTCTAAGTGCAGTAGAGGTGTTACCCCAACAACACAACTAGTGTTGCTGCTTTAACCTACTGGAGCTAAATGAAGCCACCAAACAGACTTGTCATCGTCATTATAATTTCTTCTCTGACCATTTTGACCAATGGTGGCACGGTGCAGTAGCACACTCCAAATCCTGGAGTCTTGTGTCATGTGAGAATGAATTTGTTTGTCTCTGCATGGAGACCTGGCCAGGGTGTACTGCGCCTCTCACCCAATTTCAGCTGGGATCGGCTCCAGCTCCGACCTTTAAAGGATAAGCGGTACAGATGATGGATGGATTTCACTGATTCAGACAATGACTGTCCGTGCACGTGTCTGACTGGAAATGTAGCTCCTTCTTCTTGTGTTGAAATATGATGATTATCATATTAAGTTGGACTAGAGGGCCACTCAGAGATCACATACCGTCCTATCTCGCCAAGAAATTCCTGGATCCGCCCATTTATCTGGATCCTCCTCAAAATTCACTGGGTTCTTGCTTCGGTCATGTTCTAACTAATCAATTGCAAATAAGTTTTGGATGTTTTGCTGTATTCTGATATCCTTTGTTTTCTGCATTATGAACACCTTCTATGAAAAAGCACTGGATTTGTCTCATTTCCATGTGACGCAGACTTTACACATCACTGGTGCACACGGCTCCATGTTCTTTCATTGCAATGGAAATGTCTTCTCACTAGAGCACTGAATGAGTATTTATCACAAGTCTTAAAAAGCTCTGAATTATTTACTCCTGGTTTAGTCATGTTTGCAGAAATCTACCGTGCCCAGCTGTTACAGTAATTGTATTTTTTAATTTTTTAACAGAACTGAATTTCACCATAAACCAATTTTCAAACATTTATGTCACATATATGATATAAGGTTATTTAATTTTTTTTATAATGCTCTTCAGGGAGTTTGAAAGTCACATATGAAGATTGACTGTTAAATAATTTTGTATTTTCTTTTCTTCTCTGTCTCTCTCTCTTTTCAGGCGATTATTTATGAAGGCCAAGACAAGAACCCAGAGATGTGCAGAGTGCTGCTGACACATGAGATCATGTGCAGGTGAGAATGACTGCATCACATCTTTCATCACTGATCCTTCTCTTCCTCACCTCTCGTCTCTTCTCCTCTTCCTCTTTACTTCTGCAACATACTTTGTTCATCTTGCAGAAAGTTCTCACCAGTCACCTCTCCGTACTCATTCCATTTTTTATTTTGTCACCCTCATTAACCCCCCCCCTCCCACCCACACACACACACACACACACACACACATGGATGCATAAATGCGCATACACATGAGACCATATCTGTTGAGGAAGATCAGTTTTAGCTATCAGACTCGTTGCTTTAATTATAATATAAAGATAAATTTCTTCAGAAGTAGGTTGGGAGGAAAGAGCTCTATTTATAGAGGCATTTCACCAACCTATCCTATACAATAGAAGATGTGTGTGCGTGTGTGTGTATGTGTGTGCGTGTGTGCATGTGTGTGTGTGGGTGTGGGTGTGTGACGCCTGGTTAATTAGGACACAGAGAAACTCATTAGTCAATCTGAACCCTCCTGTTGTTTCACGGCTAACAAATGGGCCTTCCTCCACAGTCCGACTATAAAATATAGGCAGGGACTCACACATGTGGCCAGGCGCACGCATGCACACACGCACACGCACGCACACACACACACACACACACACACACACACACACACACACACACACACACACACACTCTCACTGTATACTCACAAAGAAGTATGCATATGCACACTCGCTCGTGCACACCAGTTATAAAAATTCAAATTTAGCACATGAATTAAGTTGTTCTTATTCCCTGACCTTGTCACTGAACAACTTTAAGTGTAACAATATAAATTGGGGCTCATCTGTATGCACAAGCAGGGAATTTAACCATGAAATCAGGCGCACTAATATTTTATTCTATAGCTCGTTGCTTATTCCTCAGGCTGTTCAGCTGCAAAGGTTTATGGAAAACCTATTGAAATTCTGATGTGATTTGCTTGGAATTTATACATAAATTGTGTTTGGCAACAGAATTTACTGTAAATTATTGTTGTTCATCATGTGGGGAATGAGTGTCAGATATGCATTAATAGTTCTGTACAGTATACAAGAACCTGTAAGGCCTCCACACCCTGCTCCCATCCTGCAGGATTATTCAAACGTTTCCTGGGGGAAAGAGTAACTCCTGCTTGTCTGCAGCAGCCGCTGAGGTCAAAGTTACGGCTGTTGCCTCGTGTTCTCACATGCTGATTGTGCAGCGGGGGCCTCAACACAAAACACACAACGTAGCGCGCACACACAATGAGCTCAGGGCGTCCATTAATCAGTGTGGCTCATTGTCATGGCGGGACTATTAGCCATATGCTCCCAGCCAATCTGCCACCACACAGACCTGGTTGGAGCCCTGGCACGAGATACTGACGCGTTTTACTTTAGAACAGTCGACGGAGGCGACTGCACTGTTTCATGTGTTTAATAGAAATTATCATTTTTAATTTATATATTTCTTTATGTGGAGAATTGTTGGTTAACAAATGCTGAAATTATTAATTTCTCAAAGGGAATTATATTCATAGATAATCAAAATAGAATTGTTATTGTAATATTTAGAACAAAAGAGGCTTGCAATTCTTATGGGGACAAAATCTTTATATTTTAAGGTGATGATATGTTTTAAGATTAGGTTAGGTTTAGGTTAGGACAATGGTAGATATGGTTAAGGTTAGTCTCCAGGAAATGAATGTAAGTCAGTGTCCCCTGAAGCCACGAAGACACGACTGTTCGTGCGTGCGTGTGTGTATGTGTGCGCGTGTGTGCATGCGCATGTGTGGAGAGGAGGAGGAGGAGGAGGATGCAGGGGGAGAGAAGATGATTAGATCACCAGGATCCGGAGAAATAAGTGCTACATTACCCCCATCCCGCCCCTCGTTTTCCTTCCCACTACCCCTCCATTTATAACATCCTCCACTCCTTCTCCTCTCCCTCCTCCCCACCCTCACCCATCTTTCCCTGCCTCCCCTCTCCCGCCTCTCACCAGTCTCGGCTGTCCTCTTTTCTCCCCCCCTTTGCTCCTCACTATATTTTCCCATTCCTTTATCTCCCTGTCTTTTTCTTCCCCTCTACCCTCTCTCTGGTTCTCTCGCTCTCCTCCGATGGGGCCGTGCGGTGACCCAGATCATAGAGCAGCAGAAAGGAAATGACAGGGAGATCAGGGAGCGAGAGAGAGAGAGAGAGAGAGCAGCAACAGTGGAGACAATGTGTGAGGTGTAACGTATCAGTCTCTTTCTTTTTACCTCTGCCATCTGTGACGGTGGGAAACCTGAGACGTCTCCCCTTCCTCTCCTTCCCACCCAAACCCCATCCCACTCTTCCTCTCCCTCTCACCCTCTTGTTTTAGCTTTCCCTCCCACGCTCACCCTTTCGCTCTTTACTACCGCTCCCCCCCGCTGGCTTCCTCCTCCCCCCTCATGCTTACACCTTTATTCATAATTGATGCGTGCAAGGAAGACAGACGTGTGAATTTTTGCACGCGCCAGGTTTTTTGTGTGTGAGTGTTTAGTTCTCTCACCCTTTCCTCGTCTGAACCTCAGACCTCTTCAGTCCCCTCCACCTCACCTGCTCTTCAGTATAATTAGGATGCAGTGAAAGTTGTCATGTCGTATTTGAAAACATCCAACAACAACAACTCTACTCTCAAAAAGTTCAAATTGAAATAAGCAGTAAGTGAATCTTTACTGGTTTAAAACAACCAAACGTTGTTCCTCCAGATCTAAAAGAGATTCTCTGGAGCATACATAGATGTGACATCTGTGATAGTGTTTTTAACATTACTTCTTAACAAACAGTCAAAGCATGAATCTTAAATCATTTTGGTGCTAATTAGGATGAATTACCGCCTGAATAGTTTGTGCATTATGCTCTGCTAGGTAATAGCAGGTATTGCTATTAGTAATTATCACATTGCATTTTTTATGTAGGTTCAAACACTGATTTGATTTTACACATCTAAGATCCCTTGTGTTATTTCTCCTCACTTTGCTCACACAGTGCATAAGCATTAGAACAATATATAGCCTATACTGAACCTTTGTTATATTGCTACTAATTAAAATTAAGAGAAAATGATTGATTGAATTGATTGAATATTGATTGTTTTATAGCCCGACCCTGAGCTGAGAAAATAATCAAATAGCAGTAATGACACGGTCAATGGTTCATCACGTTCATTGGCTCAAAGTTTTTGTAACAAACTTTATTATAATAGGTTTGAGATTTAAAAATTATTTGTATAACAACCTCTGAATCTGAGCTGCTAAGGTGTAGCAGGGTTTTGGAGCACATCACTAAATGACTAAGTTCACCGTCTGTCTAGTCCCTGAACATGTGTCGTTTTCTCAGATCCTTCTGTTTTCTTGTCTTATCCAGAGTTACTCTGCCTCGTGGACATTCAGTAAAACTCCCTTTTGCCCCTTTTTGATCAATGTCTGTGAATTTGCTGATACAAAATTTGCACCACAAACAAAGCACATAATGTAACGCTCCCATTTATGCAGAATATACCTGAATATAATGTAGTGTCTGTTCCTGGGGTTTCACTCTTGTCTTACTCTGCCCTGACGTCTTTTCTCTTTTCTTCTTTCAGTCGGTGCTGTGACAAGAAGAGCTGTGGAAACCGTAATGAGACACCCTCAGACCCCGTTATCATCGACAGGTACCGTCTGTTTCTCTCTCTCTCTCTCCCTCTCTCTCTTCTGCACACACACACACACTCACTCACTCACTCACTC